AATATGACATAGGAAATCTTGTATCAGTCCTGTCTGGCTAGCTTAGACTGTTTTTAGTAATAAGAAGACTGTCAATAAATCAGACACCTGCATGTCTTTAAAACATTTATTTAAGTGTTTCCTCTAGGATTTTGTTCTCTAACTGCTTTGAAGAAAGCATATAGATTTCAGCATGGTATTATGATAAATCTTCTTGAGGAGGGGCAAGAATTAACATTTGTGTCGGTTCTTTTTCATCTTAATCCAACCTTGGTTAATAATCAGAAAATTCTACATAGTGGGTAAGAAGATGTAATTAACCTTTTGACCCCAGAATCTTAATTAGAGCCTGTTGAAAACAGTGGGGCAGTTTAAAAAAAATTAAAAAGTAGCCTGTGGTGATTGAAACAACATAATAAATAATGGTTTTCTCAAATCAAAATTAAAAAGTGCTATGAAACTTCACCTTTAATCACATTTTATACATAAGTAATAAGTATAAACTGTCTCAAAATAAGAGTGTTATTAGTCTTTTTCTTAGATCAAAGATGCCCCCAAATTTGGCCATCGGAGGGCCTCATTAACAACTTTCAAGAACCCCAATAGTGAGCATAAAATTGAGCTGACGGCAGCCAACCTCACGTTAAAAACAAAGGAGGAAGGGAGGTTGAGAGTGCAGGTCCCAAAATGTATATTCCATCTATATCTGAGTGACCTCTGCTTATGTGAAAATGGAGCATTTTGTGAAGTCTGTTTAGTCTCTGCATGCCGCACCTCTGTACTAAGTTGACAATGGCTATGGAACAGAGTGTAGAACTTTGTAGCCCATGTCTGGTCCACAGGTCATGCTTGCCTTTGTTTTACAGAGTTTCTCTTTAGAAGTCTGGTCTTTGGTAGTTACTCTGGGGTCTTCAACTTGAAAGAGAGCTTTACAATTTTGCTAGAGGGAAACACCTGTGTTTTTCTAACAATAGTTATGCAGTTGGACATATCTATGTAATTCAAATCATACTTCCAAGAATATCTCTTTGCTAAACAAAAATTGGCAGCAAACATGTAGTGTACCATGGTGTCAAATACTCTTCTACAAGACACCTTCCCATAGCCCCTCCACCACCATTGTTTGAAGGCTGGATGGTGTCTTGGTGTGCATAAAGGACACAAGCTTTATGAAAAATTGAAAAATTTCAACACGCATTACCTAAATAATAAATATTCATAAATAATACCTATGAATAACAAATGAGACAGCCCTTCACAGATACTGTTTGACCTGTATAAGAAACAACAACATTGGCACAAGGGTGCTTAGCCCATCTTTGCCCTCTCATATATTTAAGATGGACTAGATTACATTAGAAGGTTTTCCTATTTTTGCGGGAGGCGTTGTCCTAGATACTGGAAATAGAGTTTGTCTTTTCCTTCCACCACTTTTGGTTTTTCTCGCATTGTCTTGCATTTCAGGAATTGAGTAGTTAGCTCCTTAGTAAGCTAATAGGCAAATTTTGACTTTTTCAAAATGTGATTAGATGCACATTATATACAACTCATTTTGCCCTTCTGACCCTTTCAAATGCTGAATTCTGTCAGTGTTGATATACAAGTATAACAAGGGCAGGGGGTATGGGAAAGGAGAGAGAAAATAAGAGGAGGAGGAGGATGCATCCACTCTCTAGTCTAGTAACTCAAACTAGCAAATTGGAGGAAATCTTATGGGAATGGTCATGAGTGAGTCACACAGAGAGGAAAAACGGCTTTGTGGTATCCTTCCCTGGCACCACCAATCCAGGAACATCCCAGCCATAGTGCTTCTCGGGCAACTCCATGAGACAAAGGTGGAGAACAGCCTCCCAGAAAGGGATGGAGGAGCAGGAACAGCCACTCTTACACCAGGAAGGAGTAGAAGATAAAAGCTGTTTAACTGAGAGAAGCGACAAATGGGTGACATGAATGAGTCACTATTACAATGAGAGTTGGCAATGACACTTGTAATTAAAGGTGATTAACACTTTCCATTGTAAGTCCCTGTTTTCAGTTGCTCTTAACTTTTCAAACTTTAACCATTCAGGCTGAAATTTTCCATGCCTTGTGTCTACCTGAAGATAACTTTTTTGTTTTGTTTTGTTTTTTTAAAGTTTCAGCAAAAATGGTTGAGCTGTGTCCAAAAATGAGGTTGGGGAAAACTATGCTGCTTTGTCAATATTAAAAATTTTTTACTGCCATTTTATTGAGAAGCTTAAATTCTTAAATGTGATGGGGCTCACACTTACACTTTGTCCACGATATAATCCAGGTGCCTTTTACTATCACCCATAGGTGCTGACTCCATGGGTGCTCTGGGGTTGGAGCACCCACAGGAAAAAAATGGTGGGTACTGAGCATCCACCGGCAGCCCCCCCCCAACAGAACCTGCCCCTCACCCCAGCGCTTCTTGCCCGCTGGTGGGCTCCACTGATCAGTGCCTCCCCCCGACTTCCCCACTCATACCACCTGCCTCAGATCAGCTGTTTCATGGTGTCAGGAGCCACTGGGAGGGAATATGGAGGAGTGAGGGCACAACACGCTCAGGGGAGGGGGCAGAACAGCGCGGGGAAGAGGTGGGGTGGGAAGAAGCAGGGTTAGGGTGGGGTCTTGGGGGAAGGAGTGGAGTGGGAGCAGGGCATGGGCGGAGCCAGTGGGAGTACCCCCCGTCAGATTAGAAACTCCACGCCTATGCTGTCACCACAAAAATTCCACCCAGATTTGGCCAAATGATTATATAATGTGTCAAACAAGCTAGAAAAGATCAGTGAGGCACTCATGCTGAATTTACCCTTTCTCATAATATAAGAACAAAAAGGCTGGAAATGTAAAATTGACAAGAGGAAGAACTTTTTATGCAACGTATAATTAATCTGTGGAACTCATTGCCTCAAGATATTATTGATACAAAGAGCATAATGGGATTCTAAAAAGGAACAGACATTTTTATGGGTAATAAAGAATATCTTCAGTAATTCTAGTTAAACATTTGTGCTTAATGACATAAGCCAACTACTAACAGCCTGAGTTTAGGGAAAAGCTTTCCCAGTTGACCTCTTATTGCATAAATGTCCACTATGGATATTTCACACATTCCTCTGAAGCATCCGATATTATCCACTGTTGGATACAGGATTAACATATCTAGACCAGTGGCTTGATTCAATATGGCAATGACTGTGTTCCGTAGCCAGCGTGGGGAGATAATGGCAGCATGGTAATGAGTCAACGGGATGTGAAAGAGGCACTCTATCAAATACACCAACACATGGCCACATAATCATAGAGTTTTCAATACTATTTATAGCAGGGGTTTAAACATTAATGTTCCCTGTAGCATTGGTAGCCCCATGTTCCTGAAGGACACCTTAAGCCACAGAGCTTTTAAAGGAAGCCTCCTCTTCTGACCTTTCTCACAGGGGAGGGGTAAGAGAATGGGACACAGACACAGTAGCAGAAGAGATGTTAGAGAATAGAGGATGTCACATTTATAAAGGTTTTAATTTTGCCCTTGTACAGATCTAAATCTGAGTTCCATCATTCCAGATTTTCCACCTGTTATTGACATTAAAGTTCAAGGAGCCTACGTTAATCATTTGCGGGGTGGGTGGGGGGCAAGATGATGATTTATAAGATGCCATAAACTGCTTGCATAGTATAAATGTTTTTACTTGAAGAAAGTCTATGTAAATTTACATTTTTATTAATTCATAAATATAAATTAGAGAGCCTTTCTTTAATGCAATATCTTTTGTGATTGTTTGTTTTCCAATGCGTGGTTCATTCTTTTGAGAAAACACAGATTTTTGAACTAATTCCACCACCTACTACATCAGAGAGAGGTGAACACTTGCCAAAGTCAGCTTCTGACCGGCAGTATGTTAGAAATTAATCAAGAAGCAGAGGAATCAAAACATTAAAAAGCTTCAGAAATCACTGCTTTGTATTTGAAAGAGAGTGAAATTATTGCAGTGACTTTGGCATGTTACATTTTTCTCTAAATTTGTGTGCAGCTCTGTTATCTTGTTCTTCCAAGAACATGTTGATCTCAAATGTAATACATTTGTGCTTTACACATACCTCTATCCCAAGGCTTGGATTTGGGATGTTTCCTCATTTGCAATTTCTTATAGTATTACTAATCTCTATAAATGTGTGGTTTTGTTTCGGCAAACTTTACATATGTGTTTTGCCAATAATTGGCCTCAATAGAGGAATAAACATGCAATGCCATGTATTCCCAATGAAGAGGCATATTTTCATCTTGATGTGTAGTGATTTACTCCATGTATCAAATTTAGAATATATCTCTTTGTTTATTAACTGCAGTCATGTTTCAAAAGTTGTGACTTAATGTCTATAATCATATCTTGATTTTTCCATTTGCAATGGAAACCAGATCTAAAGACTTGAGCCTGTCAGAATAAAATTGAATCTAGTTTTACACTAAAGGGATGAAACTCATAAAATTTCTATAGACCCAACATAGTTGACAGTATCTGTTGATTGGCTTTGTTTGTTCTCCCACAAAAGGTACGTGTGTGTGGGGGGGGGGGGAGGTTGGAGTAATCCTAGATTAATTAACAAACTATGGAGGTCCATAATGGTTCAAGTGATGATCTGAATTTTTCTCTTGCTCAGTTTTTTGTGAGGGGGAATTTCCCCCTTTGCTACTACATAATTTTTGCATGTAGAAAAACGGAAGTATATTTAGTATTATTTTTTCCTTATTTCTTGTTTCATGCAAATGAGAATAAATTACACATAATGTATCTATGATGTAAGGAAGACAAAACATTCCTCATACTTTGGTATATACCTGTGTGCTGTTTGTGCATATATAAATACAATATACTGTAAAAGAATTGTATTCGGAATACAAGTTAAAAATGTTTATATAGAAAACAAAACATCATCGTCAATTTAGTGTTTGATGCCTTTGTTTTAATCTGTTACCAGCTTTGCATCAATCTATTTACTTTTTTTTTCTTACTCTGCAGTCCCTGGATGGATTTGTATTTGCACTAAACCAAGAAGGAAGATTTTTGTACATTTCAGAAACCGTCTCCATCTATTTAGGCCTATCCCAAGTAAGTAAAAATTTTCGATTCTAGAATGTAATTGTGTAAGCTGCACTCTTCTGCTAAAGTAATAATCTGTTTTGCAGTATTTTGCATGAATTATGGAATCCATTACTTAAGGTCTGTGTCTGGTTCATTCTGAGAAGTAATTGAGAAGTATATGTGTCAGTATTGAATGTTCAGATAAAATAAACTTGGGCCTGAAAACTTTTTGTCACAAAGGATCATTATTAATTTATTGAGAACAAATGAAGTTACTTTTCTCAGTTGTTTTGAACTTTAAACCTCTATACCTGCTAGGAAAGGGACACACTAATAGTACTTCCCTTGTGTCCTATTACTGGATGTTTATGGAGTACCCTTTATTATCCTGGGAGCTGACACAATGACAGGGAGTCATTTGGAGTCAAGAAATGCTGAAAGAGACCATTAAAATGTCTTGCAGGGAGGGTTCCAACAAGGACATATTTTGTAGCCTTCACAAATGTTCACTAATACGAAATGACAAATTTATAAAATACAGTATTTTGATTATTTGCAGTTTAATTGCTGACATCTGTTTTTCAGAGGCTAAAAGGGAAGGAAAAAGGAAAAGTTGCTTGTTGTGGCTTATTGCTAATCCTACTGCATTCAGAGGCTTCTAGCCGAAATAGCTCCCTTCTATTTGGATTCAGAAATGCAGCAGAGAGTTTTTGCATGATGATTTGCCAAGTAGGATAATCTACTTCTAGTACAGTCACCCTGAGGAGATAAAAATGGAGATAATGTTTGTGTCTGCTCTTTTAAATGGGGACCCATAGTGAACTTGTTGCTTGAGTAAGTTGGCACAGCTCAGAGGAGGCAACTATTAGTATTGGAAGCTTTCAAAAACTAGTGATTTTGCTGTGCCCCTGCTACATTAAGAATGAGATTTTAAAATAATGAGAGAGATTTTAATGTTTGGTGCAGAAAAAGACCAAATTTAAATATTATCTGATGAGAATTAGAATAAGAGTTATTAACTCTGCAAAGAACATCCAAGCAATTGGCTATAGTGTGTACAGCAATTGTGTTTTGTAGAGGCTTTAGCAAACCAAATGATAGAAATAGAAACGGAGCTATTTTTAATTTACTATTCATATTCTTGTCTCTCATTGAAGTCCCTAGTTTTGTAATGGGCTTTAATCCCTGCCTTAATCTGTTTGGGAGCTAGTATCAAGGATCTCAGGTTTTGAAATTGGTGCACCACCATGTTGCTAAAACAGTAAAGAATCAGAACTTTAATGTTGTTATTGTCTTAAGATCATATTAATCTGTTTTATGCATAGTATCCAACAAAGTTTAATAAGCCAATAAAGAAAAAGGATGAATAATTAGTTTAAGCAGGTAAATGCTAATTAGGGAACTCCTGAAAGGCATCCATTATACACTAGCTTAAAACAAATTTTACAGCCCTGGTTAGTGGTGTAATCCAAATTCTGTCAAGGCAACTGCATTTTCTGTAATTGAGATGTGTATGTTTGCTTTGCATAACAGATGGCTCTGTATGCTTAGACTGATAGCTAGGAAAATAATAATTGCATTATTCTGGCCAAAAGAATATTAGCTCTTGGGTTTTGGCCATTTCAGTCAGTCCTCCTGCCAGCACAGCATATGCACATATATGGATTGGATTTTCAAGGAAATTGATGCATCTGGAATAGTGTGGCCATCTGAAATATCATCTGTTAAAGAAAAATGTGGCTTTAACCCTATGCTAGTCTCTTGTAAAAGCATTTTCTTCCACTGATTTTTAACTGCAATAGCTGGTAAGACTCTCCTTATTCTAAACTTGTGTCAAGTTGTTGAGACATTACACTTCTCCTTTGAAGTAAGTATTCAGATGAATAAAGCAATTGCTATTTTTATTCCTTATTTGTGTGACTGTAGCACATAGGACTTTATTAATGGACCAGAACACTATACTAGGTTCTATACAAACATGGAACAAAAAAGACATTCCCTGTCCCAAAGGGCTTACAGTCTAAGATGAGAGACAACAGGGGGATGCAGGCCAGTGGGGGAGTACTAAGAACCAATAAGACAATATTGGTCAGCCTGATGAGATGTGGTCTCAGCACATCTTCAGCCTAACCATTGACACATTTTTTGTAGGCTTAATGGAACAGTATGGTTTTGAGGAGGGTTTTGAAGGAGGACGAGTTAAGATTTGCAGAGGTTTATGGGTAGCTCCTCTCAAGCATGAGGGGCAGCATGGCAGAAAGCACAACGGTGCTTGTTAGAAAATGTAACAAGCGGATGATGGAGGCTGGCATCCTGATCAGATCGGAAGCGGGAGCTGACATTGACATGAAAGGTGATGAGCAGATTAGGGATAGCCATGAAAGGCCTTGTAAGTGAAGATGAGTAGCTTATGTTTGATGTGCTTGAGACAGGAACACCAATGGAGGGATTGCCTAAACATATTACAGTATTTGACATATCATAACATCTCTTTGCATTTACTAATCAAGGTATCAGTGAAAAATTTTGTTGAAAAATCAGGCTCAAGATTGTGGACTTCATCACCATAATAAGTGAAATCTGCTGAGGGCCTTTGATTTACCCACTAAAATATGTCTAGTTGGTGTCCCCATCAATCTTTGCTTAGGACATTTGTATTTTATCAGGCCATAAATGAGTAAACATTGTGTACATTGTATACATCCTTACCACATTTTTTTTAATTGCCTTCCTGTAAATGCTGTAAAATCTTACAGATGCATCACTAGCAGCAGCTAAAGGAAAACTGCAATCATGCATACTAAATAGCTATTCAAATGCTTTATTTATTACAAAGAGCTGATTGGCAAAAATAGCCATGCAAACAAATTCTCAAAGTACAAAGGAAATGCTAATATGTCACTACAGTAATTTCAAAATAGTCCAAAGTGAGGAAGCCATTGCAGTATGTTATTTCATTGAATTGTGATATGTGATGAAGCTGGCAAGAACAAGCATTAATGGGATATAAACACATAAGATATCTTGCCTCCAATTCTTTGCATTATAGAATCATAGAAATGCAGTGCTTGAAAGGATCTCGAAAAGTTATCAAGTCCAATCCCCATGCTGAGGCAGGACAAAGTAAATGTAGACCTTCCCTGACAGGTGTTTGTCCAACCTGTTCTTAAAAATCTCCAATGACTTGGATTCCACCACCTCCCTTGGAAGCCTATTCCAGAGCTTAACTACCTTTATATAAAGTGCTATAAGATAAATATTACTTGGTTCCTCTGTGAGGCTAGCTGAAGGTAGATTTGTGTAGAATGCACCCTGTAGACACTTTGTGAAACTTCTAAAACATTTCATAACGTAAATTCTAAGCTTCTTCAGTTGATTCCTCTTCCTGAAGTGCTGGCTTATGAGTTTTATTTTAATGTTTAGTGCTGCTTTGCTTACAGTGCTTTGTTTTTGTTTTTTTGTCTTTTTTATTTAATATGAATGAAAATTAGGTAGCTCGTTTTTTTAGAAATAAACAGGAAAAATGTCACATCCAATTAAAAGAAAACCATCTTTTGACCTAACGTCAAAGGATGAATGTAGAGTTTTCTCCACAAGCCCAATTTTTCTCTTTTGTGTAACTTGAGAGTCAGTGATTCAATAAAATGGATGCTGCTGTACAAAGTAAGATTAATAGTAAAGAAATCTGATAATACTAATATCTCTAAAGCTAGTCTGGGACTGATAATAATGAGGTTATTTGTTACAAAGTCTGGGCCTACTTTAATAATAAATAAAAATTGTAATAACTAGTCTTTCAACGTTGTAATGAATGTACATTGCAAATAGACACCAAAATAGATATATTTGAGTTTTAAACACTTTGGCCTGGATTCACAAAAGGATGTACGTGCCTAAATCCCGGAATCAGACCCTCCTGGCATTAACAACCCCCCCCTCCTCAGCTGCCTCCAAATTGTGTAGGTGCCCAAAATTACTTGGTACCTAAAATTTTTGAAGTAAAAGGCACCCCTCTTTCTACTTCTGAGCACACTCACTGCAGCCCCATGCCAGGCACTCAGATGCCTAAGCCCCAGAGTGATGCACAAATTGGCAGAAGGTAGGTTTTCCTCTGCCTGCAGGGTTCAGTCCGGTAAGCATGCTCAGACTTTATCTAGTGGATTGGCTCCTGTATATCAGTTTACAGAAAACAGCTTGGAGGAGTTGGGGAAGGGGAAGGAGACATTCCCTTGGAACGTTTATCCCAGTGACTAAGGAACTCCCCTGATTGGTGGCAGATCCCAGTTCAAATCCCTTTTCCCCCTCAGATGAAGTAGGAACCTGAACTGGAGGTTTCTCACATCCATACTGACATACCAGGTGAGTATCCTAACTACTGGGCTAAAAGTTATGAAGGACCATATCCTCTCCCCACCCTCTGCCTTCTTGCTAAAAGCACCTAACACTAGAGATGGTTTATAGCTAAGAATCCTGAGCAGAGGAAGGTGTCTCCCTGTAGCCCAGACTAAGGTGCCCATCTCTCAGAGATGTGCAGGGTTTACCACACATCCCTTCAGGGCCGCCCGGGGGGGGGGGGCAATTTGCCCGGGGCCCCGCAGGGCCCCCCACGAGAATATAGTATTCTATAGTATTGCAACTTTTTTTATGGAAGGGGCCCCTGAAATTGCTTTGCCCCAGGGCTCCTGAATCCTCTGGGCGGCCCTGCATCCCTTGTCTTTGTACCTCCCATTGGCTACCTTATGCGAGGAGCCTCCTTGCATGGTGGCTTTTGTGAATCCCATTCTGAGGTGCCTCTCTCTTCCCATTCATTGTATTGAAAACCTAGGTGCTGAACCTTGTGAATCCCAGTGATTTTCTAGACACCTACGTTTCTTTGTGAGTCTAGCCCTTTATCTTCAGGCTAGTGATGACCGGGAATTTTATGTTAGTTGGTTTGCAGAATTTGATTTTAGAGTGCTTCTTCCAAAACAGTTCATTCTGGAATGGCATTGAGAACAGTTTCAGAGAATATCAGATGCACATTTGTG